TTCAGTGTGCCATCATTCACAATAAAGGTCACCAGTTAGTACTCTAGTCTCTCTCCCCAGAATAGCTGGCGTTTGGTTGGTGGGTGGGTCTGGGCTTAGAATTTTCTTACACCCGGTCACATCAAGCCAGACTTTGAAATTGTGTGACTTACAGTGAAGTCGCATGATTTCAAAGTCAAGAGACAGGCTTCCTGCACTCTGCGCCCACCAGAGACAAAGGCCGCGCTCCCTAAAGCGTGGCCAGAGTCAGGGGGGGTGTGCCTCGTTGCCCCTGCAACGCGACGCTGGGCCGGCCATTGTGGGGGCAACCTGGAAGCGTCCTGCTCCGGCTTAAGAAGGCCGGAGCGGGACCCAGCCCGTGTCTTTTGATCACAGTCACCGTGAGCTGCTGCTGGGAGGTCTGAGCTGAGGCCAAACCCCCGCAGCCATCCCTTCTGAGCACCCTGCTGATCCCTGGGGCTAGGGTTACCTGCTGCCTGTTACCCGCTGTGTGCCCAGAAATACTCCGCTAGATTACCCGCTGTGTGCCCAGGAGTACCGCTACCTGCCTGCTGTGTGTGCCCAGGAATACTCAGCTGTTACCCGCTGTGTGCCAAGGAGTATCGTTACCTGCTGCCTGTTAGCCGCTGTGTGCCCAGGAGGACCGCTACCTACCTGTGTGTGTGCCCAGGAAAATTGCCCTACCGTGGGCCGGATTACAATTGTTTTGGGCTCCGCCAATCTCCTCCTTTTTTGGGTACCTGGATGCTACCTTCCTACCCTGATTGACTGTCCCTCAAATTTCAATAAAACTTTGTGTGTTTATCATCCTCCGTGTGTGTTCTTTCCTGCCTACGCTTCCATCACATACTGGTTGGCAGCAGTGAGATCAGAACACCGAAGGAGATAATGGACAACGATAGCCAACTGACTCTGGACCCAGTCCGGCCCAGCAAGTACAGGAACTGGACTGTGGAGAGTTTTCAGGAGAAGGCCCAGGAACTGGGCCTCTCCGGAAGGGGCTTATCTAAGGAGGAGCTGGTCACCGCCAATGAGGAGGCCGCCCCCCGAGGGGATGAAAATGGGGAGGCCCACCAATCAGACACGGCCCCCCCCCACATACAATGACCGAAGCCCCAGTAGCACTTGGGTCACTTGGTATGAGGAGAAGATGGCCATCCTCAGTCCCGAAGCCACCTTGGATGACAAAAGGGCGGCTATCCAGAAAGCTCATGAGAAGGAAACCCTGAGGGATCTCGGGGACGAGGTGCACTCCCCAGCCCACGAGCTACCCAGCCCACGACCTACCAAGGGTGACCCGTAAGGACTTCAAACCATTCTGTGAAGTTGCAGGGGATGTGGATGGATTTTTCAAAGATTTTGAACATTTGTGCCAATTGCTGGAAGTGTGGAATGGGTGCGCCACCTGGTAGGCCTGCTAGAAGGGGGTGCTGCTGTGGCATACCGAACAATGGATTCACAATGGAATCAAGACTATGACAGGGTCAAACAGACTGTGCTTCAGTACTATGCTGTGATCCAGGAAACCTACAGAATTCAGTTTTGAGACTTGTCCTACTACTCAGAACCCTCCTTCAAGGTGAATACTCACAAAATGTCCCAGGCCTGTCGTCGCTGGCTAGAGAGCAAACAGGCCCTCTCGGTTGAGTGTATTATCTAGACTTTCCTGAAGGAGCAATTTTATGACAAGTGCCCCTCTGAGGTCATGGAGTGGATGAAGGAGCGAAGTCCAGCCACCCTAGAGAAGACTGCTGCGCTAGCTGACGAAGTGCTCACAATTAAACCACAATGGAAAAAACAGGTGACTGAACCTGCGCAGGGACCCTGGGTGTTGCCTGTCCCCTGAAAAGCCATGCCACCCCCTCCCCTTATCTAAGTTCTACCACCCCGATATCTACGGTCCCGCCCCCCAGGGTCGCTATGGAACGCCGGTGCTATGAATGTGGCATCTTAAGGCTAGATGCTCAAGGAACATCCACCCCCCCCCCCCCCAAACCCAAACCCCTCGCCCTGATCACGATGTGCAGCTGGTGCCAGGAGGACGGAGCCTCTCCCCCTTTCTCAAGTGAATGGATGCCTCCAACAGAAACTGACACTCCTCAGGGAGTCAACAGAGTTCGCCCACTTACCCCAAGTTACCCTGAGAAGAGGCAGCAGCATTTGCAGGAGGTCTCCATAGATGGCAGAAAGGTTATTGGGTTCCGTGACACAGGTACGTTCCTGACCATTGATGATCCTTGTGTATTGGATCCTGCAGTGATCAAGGAAGACCCTGGCTTTTCTATTGAGCTAGTGGGGGCTGCTAGGAAACATATCCCGGGGGCTATAGTTCAGCTGGATTACGATTTTGAGAAAAAACTTTATTCGATTGGGGTAATGCCAGGCCTACCACCTGACATTCTGCTGGAGAATGATCTTGGAGACCTTGATTGCCAATTTCTGGGGAGTGAGACCCAGAGCCACTCTCGGAGAGTGGATCAAAAGACTAGAACAGAATTGAGGCCAGACCCACAGTTATCAAGGGCTTATCCTGTTAACTATGTAAGGCCGCATGTAACCCCTACCAAAAGCCCAATGTTTTGGGGAGCCTCCCGCAGTCCTCCAAACAGGTGGAGGGATACCAGAAGGGTACACAGCCCCAATGTCACACTTGCAAACAGAGGGGGCACACGCAGGCCAATTGTCCCAGGAGGCGTAGGAAGAACCCCACGCCTTCACTTTGGTACAGAGATAATGTCAGTAGACCAAGTTATTCTCACAGGGATTTAAATGCGCCCATAGGCCCGCAATCTCCATACGCCCACATGATGCCCTGCTGGAATGAGCTTCAGTACACCCTTGCCCACCAAATAACAGGACCCACAGTAGGTGAGCTAACGCCCCACAAGTGCCTTCAAGGAGACCCATTCAGGTCCCCCTTGCCGGAACTTGTAAAATAAATGGGGGAGGGGCTGTCACGGTCCACCCCCCACCCCCCTTACCTGCTGTCCCTCTGTACCTTTGATCAATCCCTCTTTCCCCCCCTTGCAGATTCCTCATGTCCTGCCGCAGCCTACATCAAAGGCTATGCAGGATGGGAGGAAACGCCCCCTGTGGTGTGGGTAGCACCTCTCCTCGCCGAGGAGTTGGGGCCCCCCCCCAGCAGGAATCTCTGGCACAGGATGCTGGGGTGTCTCTGCGTGTCCCCCCGAAGGGCGCAGTGCAGGCACGAGGCTTACCACGCTCTGTGCCCGCCGGAGACAAGGGCCACGCTCCCTGAAGCACGGCCAGAGTCAGGGGGTGTACCTCATTGCAAGGTGACGCTTATGAAGACCGGAGTGGGACCCAGCCCGTGTCTTTTGATCGCGGTCACCGTGAGCTGCTGCTGGGAGGTCTGAGCTGAGGCCAAAACCCCTCAGCCATCCCCGCTGAGCACTCTGCTGATCCCTGGGGCTAGGGTTACCTGCTGCCTGTTACCCGCTGTGTGCCCAGAAATGCTCCACTGGATTACCCGCAGTGTGCCCAGGAGTACCGCTACCTGCCTGCTGTGTGTGCCCAGGAATACTCGGCTGTTACCCGCTGTGTGCCCAGGAGTACCGCTACCTGCCTGCTGTGTGTGTGCCCAGGAATACTCGGCTGTTACCCGCTGTGTGCTAAGGAGTACCGCTAACTGCCTGCTGTGTGTGTGCCCAAGAATACTCGGCTGTTACCCGCTGTGTGCCCAGGAGTATCATTGCCTGCTGCCCGCTGTGTGTGCCAGAGGTGACTCCTGCCAAAACCGTGAGTGTCCCTATTTTCCCTTGCCTAGACTGTCCATGAACCTCCCTATCCTCTCTGCCTGGACTGTCCTTGAATCCCCCTATTTGCCCTGCCTGTACACCTCCCTATTCTATCTGCCTGGACTGTCTGTGAATCCCCCTATTTTCCCCTGCCTTGAACGGTCTGTGAACCTCCCTATTCTCTCTGCCTGCATTGCCCATTGAACCTCCCTATTACCCTTGCCGGACTTGCCTGCTTGGATTAATACTTGCTCGGGCCATCGCTACCCAAATCGCCCTACCATGGGCCGGATTTCAACTGTTTTGGGCTCTGCCCCTCTTCCCCTTTTTTGGGTACCCGGACGCTACCTTCCTACCCTGATTGAGTGTCCCCCATATTTCAATAAAACTTTGTGTGTTGATCATCCTCCGTGTGTGTTCTGTCCTGCCTACGCTTCCGTCACAGTTTAGATTTCTGATATTTCACCAAAGCCCCCAACAGGGCTGATAAAAAAATTGTAATAAATAATACCAAATTAACTTGTAAAAAATAAAAAAAAAAAAAAACTATAAAAAAATGTAAAATAAACATTTTTTAAAATACTGACACCTTTTTTTAGCCATTTACATATTGTCACCAGTGTCCCTGACCACTGCCATGACAGTCATATGGGGATGCTGCTCTGGTGACAGTATGTAAGAAAAAAAAAAGTGAAAAACATTTACCGTATTTTTCGCCCCATAAGATGCACCTAGACCATGAGACGCACCTAGATTTTAGAAGAGGAAAACAAGGAAAAAAATATTCTGAACCAATGGACTGCAGACATAGTACAGGAAATGACCAGAGACTGCAGACATAGTACAGGAGATGACCAGAGACTGCAGACATAGTACAGGAGATGACCAGAGACTGCAGCAGACATAGTACAGGAGATGACCAGAGACTGCAGACATGGTACAGGAGATGACCAGAGACTGCGGACATAGTACAGGAGATGACCAGAGACTGCGGACATAGTACAGGAGATGACCAGAGACTGCGGACATAGTACAGGAGATGACCAGACTGCGGACATAGTGCAGGACATAGACTGCGGACATAGTGCAGGACATGACCAGAGACTGCGGACATAGTGCAGGACATGACCAGAGACTGCGAACATAGTACAGGACATGACCAGAGACTGCGGACATAGTACAGGACATGACCAGAGACTGCGGACATAGTACAGGACATGACCAGAGACTGCGGACATAGTACAGGACATGACCAGAGACTGCGGACATAGTACAGGACATGACCAGAGGCTGCGGACATAGTACAGGACATGACCAGAGATTACGGACATAGTACAGGAGATGACCAGAGACTACGGACATAGTACAGGAGATGACCAGAGACTGCTGACATTGTACAGGACATGCCCAGAGACTGCGGACATACTACAGATGACCAGAGACTGCAGGCATAGTACAGGAGATGACCAGAGACTGCAGACCTTCGTGGGGGGGGCACCCGAATTTGACAGGTACCCATGTCCGTGGAGTTGTCCTCCCCGTAGTCTTTTGGGACACATGACAGGTCCCAGAAAACTACAGGTGACCATTCACAAAGTGCAGCTCTTCTTACACATTCACAGTGGGCACCTGGCTGTGCAGCAGCAAGCTGTCACAGCCAGGTTCCTACACTGAAGATGCCGGCGCCGGGGAGAGAAGACGGCCGGTGAAAGCAGGACGCCGCTGGACCGAGGAACAGGTAGGATCAAGGAGCAGGTTCTTCTGCACAGTAGAGCCTAGCGGCGAGCCCGGGATTCTAACAGGGTGGAGGCGGGAATACCGGGCCGGCCACTCCATATTCGCTCCATAAGACGTACAGACATTTTCCCCCATTTTTTTTGGGGGGGGGGGGGGGAAAGTGCATCTTATGGAGCGAGCGAAAAATATGGTACTTAATTTCTTTATTTTTCACAAATTGGGACAAAGAAATTACAGGGGCTGGAATTTGTACTGTTCTGGCATTTTAGGGCCTCAAGAAATGAGGCAGTCAGTACATCAGGATTGATCAATTTTCAAATATATATCAATGTTTGTAGGCTGTATAATTTTCACACAGAGTAAATAATATACACGGATTTGGGTTACTTTCACCAAAGAAATGTAGAATATATTTTGGCCTAAATTTATAAGGAACGATTTTTTATTTGCATAACTGTATAACAAAAACTGAGAATTTTTTTTTCAAAATTTGCGATATTTTTAGTTTTTATAGCAAAAAATAAAAAACCTCAGTGGTGATTAAACCACCAAAAAAAGCTCTGTCTCAAAAAATGATAAAAATGTAATTTGGGTACAGTGTTGCATGACTGAGCAATTGTCATTCAAAGTGTGACAGAGCTTAAATCTGAAAATGGCCTGGGCAGGAAGGGGGTGAAAGCAGTACTCAAGTGGTTGGTGAGTGGTATTAATTCACTCATAACTAATATTTCAGTTTATAATTGATAATAATTATTGATATAATTGACCCTATAACTGGTTCTTATGTTTCTTGGAGACTCCAGAGGTAGCAGTATTGTTAAAGCGGTATTAAACCCAAAACTAAAATATTGCAGTTTACCAATCGTTAGATGTGGTGGCTGCATCAGTTTTCCGAGTTACCACCTGGTGATCTCTCCATGTCATGTATTCACATTCTGTGGATGAATAAACTACATGCATTGATGGCTTTTAGTTCTCAATGAACTAAAAATATAATATTGCGCTCACAACCTTCCAATCTATATATAAAAATGTATATAATATAATTGAATATCTGAATAAGTGAATATATAGCCAATCAACTCACATAAATGAATATATAGCCAATCAACTCACATGAATGAAATAGTAAAAAATACTAAAAATATAGTGAAATCATATAATATAATGATAAAATAATAATGTCCCACAGAGAAATATATAAGTGACTTTGTGCTGAAAAAAATCTTCTATAACTTTAAATAGGTGACTGCTTGTGCCTCCTCCCTCAAGTGAAGATGTGCGCTCACCTCATGAATAGCCTGCAATTAGGCTATTAAAGCTTGCGGTTCACCTCCTTGGAACCTACTTGTTTAGGAACTGTTGTAGATGAGATAACAATTATAATGCGACCTGTGTTGTAGACCAGTATCCTCTCACTGGATGCCCCTCTGCTGTCTTCTTATTTCCATGTAACTCTCCATAAATAAGAAAATTCTGACATGGTGCTTTATCGTTTTCAAAGCTTTTAATGTACAGCTGACAGGTGGCTCTCACATAAATCGTATAGTGATAGTACAGCTGATTCAGACCTCCGCTGGCTGTTGGAGATGTGCGTGCGTGATCCGATATCCGGACTAACTCCCTCCGAGTGACATGAACAGTCCCACCCCTACGCGTTACGCCACTAATCACGTGGCTTCATCAGGGGGATTTGAATCAAATCCCCCTGATGAAGCCACGTGATTAGTGGCGTAACGCGTAGGGGTGGGACTGTTCATGTCACTCGGAGGGAGTTAGTCCGGATATCGGATCACGCACGCACATCTCCAACAGCCAGCGGAGGTCTGAATCAGCTGTACTATCACTATACGATTTATGTGAGAGCCACCTGTCAGCTGTACATTAAAAGCTTTGAAAACGATAAAGCACCATGTCAGAATTTTCTTATTTATGGAGAGTTACATGGAAATAAGAAGACAGCAGAGGGGCATCCAGTGAGAGGATACTGGTCTACAACACAGGTCGCATTATAATTGTTATCTCATCTACAACAGTTCCTAAACAAGTAGGTTCCAAGGAGGTGAACCGCAAGCTTTAATAGCCTAATTGCAGGCTATTCATGAGGTGAGCGCACATCTTCACTTGAGGGAGGAGGCACAAGCAGTCACCTATTTAAAGTTATAGAAGATTTTTTCAGCACAAAGTCACTTATATATTTCTCTGTGGGACATTATTATTTTATCATTATATTATATGATTTCACTATATTTTTAGTATTTTTTACTATTTCATTCATGTGAGTTGATTGGCTATATATTCATTTATGTGAGTTGATTGGCTATATATTCACTTATTCAGATATTCAATTATATTATATACATTTTTTTATATATAGATTGGAAGGTTGTGAGCGCAATATTATATTTTTATTTACACGTTTTTTCACATTGGTTGTTATGTGCTAATAAGTTTGCGATCCAACAAAAGGAATTCATTACTTGGCTCGCAAGGTTTTTTCCATATAATTGAGTTCTCAATGAACTGCAAGGGCACTGGTCAGTACTCTTGTAGTTTATTGATCTTCCTGGACTTCAGTAACTGCCTGCCTGTACAGGAGTCTGTAGGAGCCTGGAGATTTGCTGATCACAGACGCAACATTCTGCAGGCTCCTAGAGAAAAAAAAATGCTTTAACTGCAAAAAAAGTGTAGTTATTCTTTCTTAAAAAGTGAATTTATCCTTTGATTCCAGAAAATAATCAGAGCTAAACATTATAGTAAAAATCACATCTTTTCAGCAGTGTTACTGCTTGTTGAAAAAATCTGTTGGGCAAGCAGAATGAGCCCAGAATGCTCCTGTTATTGATCCCCATTAGATGGGGTTTCTGGGTGTCCTGGTTTATAGGACACTTTTACCTGTCAAGGACTTAAGCCCATGTTGTCTCTAAAACAAGGATAAGGACTTTGACTGTTGGAGGAGAAATGAGGAGAGAGCTTATACTAGCAAGGTAAAACCAGCCATGTTACAGTTATCACAATTTGCAATACTGCTGGCTACTATTGTAAGAAGAGTCACCCAAGTTTAGCTGGCTGTTCACATACAAGCAGATGCAAATATGGTACTATCTAAGCGTTGTGAAGCAACCTAGCTGCCATCACCCCTTTTGAAAACGTACATGTGTACGAAACGGGGTGTTGCCATCACCCCTTTTGACAAAGTACATGTGTACGAAACACGTTGAGGAGCCCCGCACGTCGTGACGTCACGCCGCCAGATCATGAAGGTCCGGCGGCCATCTTTGATACCAACTGGTCAGTGCATCCAGCAGCTCTTACCTGCATGTCATTTTTCTACTGAGGATTTACTTTTACATTTATATGTGTGTTCATTGGATAATTTTAATAAACCATTCATAAGGAATACTACACTATAGGCACCATCCTTTTTTGCTCTGTACTGAGCATTTAACTCCCCAGGATAACCAGGTGACCATCCCAGAGCCCAGAGGAGAGAGACCTACACCAGACCCCAGCACAGCTTACCTTTAAGGAGACCTCTGATTGACATCCTATCGCCCAGATCCATAGAGGAGGTTTTCACATACCAGGCTGCATCCTACTCTACCATAAGAGGAGACCTCTGGCTGTTTGATTAATTGCGCATATTTGATGCGCCTCAAGTGAGTGTGCATTTATACCATTACTCAGCACGTTACTGGATTACCTACTTCTACTGGGAGAATAAGAGTCACCTTTCTGAATCTTTTAGCTGCACTTACACCAAACGTTTGATTTATCAATATAATATCAATTTTATGTTATGATTTCATATACGTGTACCTTGTGCAGTTCTATGGGATACTAATAGGCATTTATTTGGTATATATATCTGCATTTCTTCATTGGACACCAATTTAGTATCCTAAGTATTAGTATTTCTTTGCAGTTTTATGCGTTTATACTGGTGACTATTGTGACATTTTATGCGTTTTTGGCATTTATATTTTTAGCGCTGCACTATATTTTTACATATCATTTGCACCTGCTTTTAATGCCAGTGTGAACTAGGCCTAAACATTGGGCAAAAGAGCAATCAGATCCAGTCAGAAATTATGGACATGCAGCAGGAAAGAGAGCGCTCAATTCAGGGGCGTATTTACCACAAGGCAAACAAGGCACTTGCCTAGGGTGGCATTTTTCAGGGGGCAGCACTTCCCCCAGAAGAAGGGATGAAAGAAGGGACACGCACACCATAGGAACTAGGTGGGATCCAAGAGAGGCTGCAGGCTGCTTGACGGTGTATGTAGAGCCTGACTCTTGTTCCTGGGGATGTCCGAAGCTGTGAAGATGAGTGTCTTTTTCTCTTTTGCCAGGGGAGGTAACACTATTCAACAAATTTTTATTTTTTGCCAGTTTTGGAAACAAAAGGATCCATTTCTTAATGAATTTCACATTCTGAGTTCAAATATAACAATGAAATTTGTCAATTGGCTCTAGTTTTTCTGTAAACGGAAAGTTTTCTACTACAGGCGTAATGACTACATAATGCACAATAATTATATAGATAGATGTCTTTCCACAAATATAAAGCAAGTGATATTGACTACATAACAAAGCCTAAATGGCATAATATATTGCATAGGATTACCAAGAAAAATTATAGCCATAAGCTAAGTTGAATCATTTTAATACTTAGGATTCTCACTAGTTTTGTCTTCAGTTTGTGTCGGTTTTGCTTCTCTTGGCTTTTCTCTTGTATTCGAGGAAAGGGCTATCTCTTACAACTGCACGTGACTACACACTTCAGGTTCTTCCTCACTTGACTCAACCACGAAAGATTCTGGTGCTTTAGGAATTGGTAGCCCCTCTCCATGAGGAACTGGACGTATTGCCGATGGAATATTTGGATAGTGCACAGATAACTTTTTCTTCTTATTTAGCCCTTTTACAATTGGAGGCACCATACAAAAGTAACAATTACTAACATGATCTGTTGGCTCTCTCCAAATCATTGGCACAGCGAAAGGCATAGATGCCTTTTTTCCATTCAACCATTGCTCCAGTGCCGTCCCACAAGAATTGCAGCATATATGTGGTGCCCAGCT